TGCAGTACTATCGATAGTCAAGAAGTATCCGCCCGTCATTTCTCCTCCCAATAGCCCCCAGCGGAATACCTATCATATGCTGACTTCAGCTTCCGGTTGATTCATTCAGGGTTCGCTCCCACACACAGATGAGACTCTCGCAGCCTGAGTGGGAGCAGCCGACGGGCCCCAAGATCCATCGATCCTCCATTTGCCGTGAACTTCTTCTTACCGGTATTTCTGATGGTTTTCTTTTCTCCTACACTCCACATTAAAACCATCCGGCATACCGGTAGGTTGCTTCTACTACACGGCAGTCACTCGATTCCGGATTTTTTTTGTTTCATCATGAAGTATAAATTAGTGTGGTAATTCCAAAACAGAACAAAACAAACATTCCTCATCCCTGTTAGTCTTCTACTGTACTGAGTACAATTGGCGGCGAGGGCCCCTCCAGGAAGAAAAAGGACTGGCTTGGAAGATCAATGACGAGGTAGGCTGGGGGTCGTCCACGGTCACAGTTGCCCCGAACTCTGGCAATCAACATTTCGGATGATACCAAGCCCCAATAAAGCTAGCTTCGGGCGGAGGAAGCATGGGGGCCATGGTGATGTGGGGCACTGCACGGGTGTTCCATTCGGCACCAGGATTTCGCATCAAGCCAGGCTGAGCTTCTATGGCTGTGGTACGGTGTCATCTGTCCCTCAACCATAGTTGGCTGTGATACGGTGTCGTCTGTCCCTCAACCGTAGTTGGCAGCGATTCCAGGCCCACCGTACAGGACTGGCAGTGCGAGCAGATGTGCCCAGAATCGCCCGAAGCAGCTGTTGGCAGACGGGGCTTGTGGGCGAGCTGATGTGCAGGGGCAATAATTTGCGCCGCATCGGCATTTGTCCCTCCTATCTAACGTCTTATGCGGTGGAAGTTGACTTAATGTGGGAGTTTCTATACGCATTATCATCAGAAAAAAAGGAATTGCGAGGAGGGAGGCCCGTGGAGGCGACCCCCAAACACTTGAGAATGGCGCCAAAGCTTGAGCTGTTATGATCATTCCCACGGCTCTTTTAAGATCTCCAGATAGAGGAAAGGGGTTTAGACGCAGAGGGCGGAGAGAATCCCGCGTTACCTGCTGGACGAGCTTCTCTTTTCGCAGACAGGATCAGCAGCCCCCAGCGGGCGCGGGGGCGGCAGCCACGCACTGTACTAGTACAAGTACAGCACAAGGGCACCTTTTTGTGACATTTTCTACTGATAGACCCCGACATCGGAAATGCACCACTTTGCATTTTACCAGTATTCCGCTCCATAGATTTGACAATCGGAAAAGTAAAGCATTAGATGCTTTACGATTTCACACCTAGAATTAAATCCTAAAGATCTAGTTGCCTTAGGACCGCCTTTGCCTCGCGTCCGGAGCCTCTTCATAATGTTTCTATTATCCTCACCCCCTCAAAGGTCGGAATCCTGGACAATAATCGAAAAAACAAGGGGAAAGCAACGAGGTGATAGTAAGGTGCCGCCTGGACACAGCAGGATGTGCGCGTGCGAGCGGTGACGTTCGGTCCCTGGACCCCCCACTTCTCCTGCAGCGCGTGCCCCCCACCGTGCCAAAGGACCCAAACCAACCCCTTGGAAACAACCTCTAACGAGGAAAAGAAGATCGTTATCGGCACATTTGATTGTGCTGCTTAATTCCTCTGGGATAGGTAACCGTCGACCCTATCTACTCGAGCAGCTCCCGATCTGGTATATAAGGCTGAGAGAGCGTTGCCATCATGGTATTTTGCCCCAAAGGTAGTTGGACACCTGAAGCAGGATCCCCCCGGCCAGGGAAGAGTGGCATAATCCATCCACTTCTATTCCAGAGATTTCCCAATTGCTCAATGGGTGTGAGCACGCGCACCACAAAGATGATTATCCCCAGCTTCGTGGGCCGCCCCACAACACGGCCGGTTGGGATAGGTTATCGTAGTAATCGAGCAAGATTTCAAACCCACATTGGAGTAAACATGGGAGTCTTCCCTTCCCGTATACCGCTGTGCCATACACCCACGGCCCGGGTTGCTTATGAAACTGAGAATTACAAGATGTGAAGCCTATTATGGTGGAGGGCTCCTTAGGCCAGAATACCTGCATGTTTATAAAGTATCCGGATGCTTTGGCATTGATCGATACCTTTCTTGGTTCAAAAGCGTCCGAATACTTCATAACATGTGAAGGGTACGACTGGAAAAGCCAGCGAGAGTTCGACAAAAAGCTCTTCCTGCTGGTGAGTCACTATTCTATCCCCATGACGCACTGCAACTTGAATTACTTGCGGGAGGTGGTTTTCTAGCGCAAACATTCTTGAAGCTCCTCGAGCGCCTTCAGGGGATCCTATTCCTAGTCGCCAAATGGGCCCAAATCCAGAGCTCGTGAATACCAGAGTGTTGGAAAGGGGGATTGAAAGCGGAAACAAAATCGACCCAAGCGCCGAACGTTGTCTCCACACACTTTGATCTTCCCTCCCGCTCTCCAAGTAGTCTCCGCACTGCAGGAATAATGTGCACTCACTGAGACTCAAATCGACCAACTGGGATTCCGTAATTTAATTTACTAAGTTACTACTACGCCTACTACGTTGGCACTATTTCCGGTTTCGAAAAATTGAAAATAAAAAGGAAAGGAAAGGAAAGGAAAAGATCGACCGCTACAGTTTCGATTCTGCCCCTATCTACAGTATTTATACCTAATGGTATAGCGAGTGACTGTTCATGAGTGAAGTGATTCGTTCTTGCTGATTGCACGAATCCAAAAATGAGACCAGGCAGTCCGGTAGGGATGGTACAACTGCTGCCTGAGGTGCTCCCTGTGAGGTATACGAACGAAAAAAGATATGAGCTGGATATTTTATTTTTTCTCCTAGGGTAGTCATATGAAGTCAATCTCAAATAGGAACTGGTCAATCTATATCCGGGGATCCAACAACACCGCTACCTCCATCGAAACTCCCTCGGCGCGATGAAGGGCATTAAGGGAAGCAATGATGGATTCTACGGACCCGAAAAGATACAAGTATCCATTTATAAGCTTCGATAGATAGCTAGAATGAGTATCACACACATACACACACCGGCACAACTCCTGAGCTGGCGTCTGCACATCCTATGTGTTCATGACTCCTACTTTCTGGGGAGTATTTCCTTGTTTGTTATTTCCCCTGATTTTGTTTCCCTCTGTCTTATCGGAACAGACTGTTGCATGCTCGGGCATTTGTTTCCGCTTGCATTCGTTTTCTTGATACCGGTGCTGATAGTGATGCACAAGTGTATGCACCAGTTATGCCGGGATACCGGTACCACTATTCACTAGGGCACATCCATCAAGTTACTGATCCGAAATCTAGCATCAGTGTTCCCTCATGCACAGCGCCTGCCTGACCTAACTTGGACGGAGCAGCAAAGAGACTCTGGCTAACTAACTCCATTCCCTTCTACCATACCATAACTCGTTACAGCCAGGACTAAACCTTTCAGGGCACTTACTTTGGCACAACTGTGGATACCATACTAGCACCTTATGATTCTTGCTAGCTAGCTAACTATCTAGGTGATCCGGTACACACGATGTACCAAGAGCCTCCCGCATACCTACCTACCAATGATGATTACCGGCCTTGGTACCGGCACTTGTATTCAAGTACAGTACAGTATGTCTTCTTCAATGCACCCAAACAGCGATATATAAAAAGCCGGAACAATCCGACAGCGGCGTTTTTCTTATCCCTGGTGAAGCCGAACAATGCGAGCAAGCAACGGAAAATTCCACTATAGCCCAGCCCTCGCAGGAGGAAAAAACCCCACCTTCCTTCCTTCCAAATTCCAACGTAGAATACAAACGCAACCCCCCCGAGCGCGGTACTGTACTCGAGTACCAGTACAATACACCACTATACCCCTCTACACGCAGATCCCCTCCCTCCAAAAAATCTACTTCCGCCATCCTTCCTTATCGGTACTCTACGAGGCACGGTACTAGTACTAGTACTACTCGTAGTACACCCATGATAAAATACAGCCGCTGCTAGGCAAAAAAGTCTTGGTGAAACGAAATCCCACTTTACCGGAGATTACAAGTACGGTACGGTGCTACAATACTCAAGTACAATAATGAAAGGGGGAGGAGGGGGGGGGGCATCCGCACCGGGATTGCGCGATCGCTGGGTGGGTGGGGGGCCCCCTTTTCAGGTGTCACAGATAGAGAAAAGAAAAGAAAAAACCGTGTTAAAAATCACGTGACTTGACTTGCTGCATTTGTACTCGTAAAATAATCACTCGAATACTAAAATTTTTATTTTTTCTGTGGGATTTGTTAGGGTTACTGTTTATTAAGTAATGTTAGGCGTGATAACATTATTTGCATGGATATCATATCATATCATGCTTGGGGTGCTATGGTACTGTACCGGTGTATGATACAGTAAGGTACAGGCAGCAGATGAGTAATCTGGCACGTTGCTGTTATCACCATCGAATGCTTACAATTCCACTGCTTTTACGTACCCCGTTGAGGAGACGGTTTGGGTAGGTATATATTGCGGTCCGTCTAAAGCTTATGTATGGTGTGTGTGTCCACTGGGCTTTCCTGACATTGTTGTGCTTTTCCTCCCATAGACTTGGTGGCCGCGTTGGGTTTCCTGTTGGGTTCAAGGTTTGGGTTTACATATTCATAGCTATGATAGAGTTTCTGGGGTTGTGCGGCGCAGGGCTGGATAGAGAAGGTCTGGTGATGTTGATACAGTAGTAGTACTATTGTCGGTGATATATGATGAGGACTCGGGTATGTCACCTGTGGGGGCGTGGGTGGGTGACTTGAGTGGGCCAGTGCTTAGAAAAATGGCCCAGTTCTGCCTGTAACTCCGGTACCAAAGATTCCTGGAAACCTCATCTTGGACACGGCCGCCCCGCGGTAAATGCATGGCCAATCGACTTGCGTCCTATCAATGTGTCCGCACTCTCATGTACTGGTGCATTCCCAAAGATAGTGATCAGCGCTGGATGACTGCGCCACCTAGAGCCATTAAATACGATACTACTTCCCACAAACACTGAATTCCTCGACAGGAATAAACGCGCAGAAAAATCACCCCCTCTCACCCGCCCATTCGTATCCGTGCATCCAGTCCTCACGAGTGGTCAGTCACTGGGTTCGGAGACGCTGGGCAAAGCTCGATAAGTAAGAGCAGCTAATATTGCCCTGCCCGACGGCCAAACCACCTATTATTAAACTTTCCAGAGGATCCCTGTGCATTAATAGGTCGCCATTTATGGGGAACCGTAATGCTCGATACCCCAGATCCAAGGGAAAAAACCCACCCAGCCAACCCTACCATACGGATGAGGCTGAGCCCACAGCATTGAGAGCAAAATAGCACTGAGAAAGAAGCTTAAACGCACCCCCAATCCGCAGCCCACTGGCTGAGACACGCACCGACTCGAAGCAATGCAGGTAAGTTAACAATAACCGATTACCGGTATTTTTGATCCCCATCTCCCATCCGCTCCAGTTTAGGCTATTTAGTGTCATACATGACACGAGCAACTGGCGCAACGGTCCCACTGCGGTGCCGGTAATACATACTGTTCGAGCGCTTAGTCTGCACTTTACGATTACCGCATTGTGCTGTGCTGAGCTGCGCTGTACCTGAAAAACGGGGGATGGGAGGGCGGTTAACTTTATCTCATCCCTCTTTCGTGCCTCCTGCGCGTACGTTATTGTCCGACGTTCCGTATTTTTCCTAAAACGAATGATTTTTCACCATCTCTCGCGCACTTTCAGAGATACCTGTACGAGTACGGTTGGGTCTCTGTCGTGGATGTGGTTTTTCTTTTTTTTTCCTCCCCCTTCTTTCCCTCCTTCCCATCGCAGAGGCGGGCCGGGGCCGTAATGCAGGTTGATGATGGAAAAGGCAGATTTTCTCCCATCCGCCAGGGACAAAGTGCAGGTTTCCGAATCAACTTAGGTTCCTGTTCTTTTCTTTTTTCTTCCCCTCTCGACAATAAAAATGCGGCTCGAATCTCTAGCCAATGCGGAGAAAGTGCGATTTTGGTGGTGGTGGAGTGTGCGGGATGCGGTGGCGGTGCGGGAGGCAGTGCACTTGTCGTGTTTTCGTTTTGGGGGGGGGGGTGATTGTTTGTTTATCGTGGCGGGTGGGCGCTTTTGCGGTGATGGGGAGCCGATCGCGGGCAAGTTCAAGAATCGCTAGTGGCGTTTAAATGGGATGTCGTTATTCTATCGTTCTGGGGTTCCTGGTCATTCTGTTTATGCATTGCATGAGGGTTGGGGAGGATGTTGAAATGGAGGTGTCTGCATACTGTACTGTACTCTAGTGTAGCCTTGCTAAAGGGGGAGAGAGCAATTTTTATAGGATCTCGGTGTTTAGCTAATGGAATCGTGTACGATGCTTGTAGCTTTGGCCGATCAATAAGGGGTACGTAAAGTACCGGCAGAGGGCTGAAGCTGGCAGGCGGGAGGAGGAATCTCTATGCGAGAAAAAAAAGGTAGCTTAGAATGGGTTATGACATTGTAAAGCACTCGTGCTGTTCGTAGCCTACGGTACCTGTACTCGAGTACTCGTGGAAGGGAAGAGTGCTTGATTCGGGGATGGCGGCGATAGTCGGTTGAAGGTATCGGGTAGGGACCATTTAACAACCCCTGTCGGATCTTCTCCCATTTCGCTCTTATTGCCCATCTTGATCCCCTTGTCCTGTTTTGCCTTTTACCATACGGTGGGGATGCTGTCAACCTCAAATTTCCTGAAATGGGCTCCACCCAGAACGGGGCAGGAGCTTCCAGGAAGGGGGAAGAGCTGGAGGGAAGCTCTCGTAGAATAACTTGGGACACTGGGCCCAGTACGGTTACGATACCTCGTTGTGAACCCATGCCTGCAGAAAACTGTGACCCGAGGAGGAGGAGAAAAGGCGAAAGGAAAGGACAACTGCCACAGCAAACGGGAAACAATTGAATGTTAACCGTCAAGGCTGAGCTTACTGTACCTATTCTATTTCCTTTGCTGTGGAGGACCGTCGCCTTGATTCCCTACAGATCCATACAAAGGTTCAGTATCATCGCCATTATCCGTGGCTGTTGTCCAAACCCCCCCCCCCGATCCCCCTGTCCGTTTTTTGCACCTTTGTTCCTCGGGTTCTGTGCACTCTCTGTTTTTTCTTTCCTTTTTCCTTTTTCCTCATTTCTCCCTCTCTCTCGAAACCCTCATTTATGTACCTCTCCACCGCTGTCATTTACTCCAGACGTTAACTTAGTCCGTGTGCATCGACTCTTTGCCTCTGATCCCACGGTACGGCCTGTCTCCTCCGCCCGTGTCCTGCGCTCCCCTTAGCCCAGCCCAGCCAGCCTGATCCCGCTCGCTCACCTTCTCTTCTCCTCTGATCCCTTTCTTTTCATTCATTGCTCTCACTGCCAGGTTACGGTCTGTAAACAGTGAGCAGATGGCCGGAAGGAACTATTCCTGAATCCATTCAATTCCAAATCCCAAGCACGGCTCTCCTGTGTTTTTTTTTTTTTCATCTCCTGGTTGTCTATATATTTTCTGTTGAATCGTCTCGCTGGTCACTGGTTGCTCCAACCCTCTCGTTGGCTGGTTTCCCTCCTTCGCTGGTTGCCTTGATGTGCCAAACCCATTACGCGCTCCCCTATTTACCATTAACTCTCTTGCAACCTCGCTCTTGATCAAACTCCCGGCTCTCCACAACAACCTCCTCCTCCTCCTCTTGGCCGACAAACCACCGTTACTTTACGCTCTTTAGTCCTGGATATTTCGGGAAACCCTCCGTCCTTTTATTCTCTCCTTGCGGCTGCTTGGTCCCGTCGAAGCTGGCGGCCTCTTCAACCATGGCTCCTGGGTTTGTACCTCTGCACATGCTTCCCTTGCTCCTACCCTGCACTTGTGTTGAGAGTATGCTTGCTGATCGCAAACACGACAGACTCGGTTCAGGGTTCCGCTCCTTTTGGCACGCGATGACTTCGAATGACAGGCATGCAAACCACGATTCCCCCTATAGATCTCTTTCCAACATGGGCAATCAACGCATTGGCGTTGGCCGTAACCCCGAATTACACTCCGTTACCTCACCCGGTGCCGGCACCAGCCTCAATCTTAGCTACCGCGACGATAACCGTTCTACCACCGCTCTCGCTTCCCAAAACGGAAATATTCAGGGCCCGAATTCCCCCTATTCTCCGGGCTCGAGGTCTTCAACTTTGCAGAGTGATGGCTCACCAGGAGGAATAGCTCTGCAAGACTTTGGTACGGATGGTCTACCCCCGCCCCCCCCTGTACGCCATTCCTGGAGCAGGATCGACCGGTGGTGCGAGGATAACTATCCCGAGCTCTTTGATCAACTCTGCACTCCCGCGTCGGTAAATGATATCAACGAGCTGGAGTACAACCTGGATTGTTCACTGCCGATGGAGGTGAGGGACTCGCTTCAGATTCACGACGGACAGGAACGCGGTGGTATGCCTACTGGCTTAATATTTGGTGCAATGTTACTGGACTGCGAGGAGATGCTGGATGAGTGGAGGAATTGGAGGAAGGTTGAGAGGGAATATTTGGCCGAGCCGACACTTGCTCCTCCAACTCCGGATGGGGAGCCTGGACCGTCTAGGTTGGACACTGGTTCCATTGGACGCCAGAACCTTCAAGCTCGCCAAGACTCACAACCGGAAGGTGCTGTTGTGAAGGCCTATGCTCATCCGGGTTGGATCCCTATGGTCAGAGATTGGGGTGGAAACAACATCGCCGTTGACCTTGCACCCGGCCCTAATGGGACATGGGGACAAGTTATTCTCTTTGGCCGTGACTATGATACCAAGTATGTTGTTGCGAAATCGTGGCCGCATTTCCTTGCTATGGTAGCGGACGATTTGGCGAGTTCTCATTGGTGGGTGGACGAGGAGACTCAGGAGTTGAGGTTGAAGGATCCGAGAGCTCCAAGATCGGAGCCACCGTACATGGAAATTCTACGGGTCCGGAATGAACGTAAATACGGAAGACGCCGCGTCAGAAAATCAATGTCTCCGACACAGTCACCTCACACCTCCACCATGTCCCCGGGAGCTTTCGGAGCGGCGAATGGACACGGTCTCCGCGGCGGCCTCACAAGACCTCCAAGGGAGGAAAGCACAATGTCGAACAACCACCTCAAACCACCTTCAAAGAAGCCGGGCAAACCTCTACGAAGTGTCACCGAGGAGATTCCAGCCCCAATCCCCATCCATACCAAAGTACAGAGTCCAGCGAGGGGTCCTCCAGTCAATAACCTATTGGACGAGCCTTTACTTGAAGAGAGACTATCTGATACGGTTCAGAAGCTAGAAGATGTTGCACTGGATGGCGACAAAAGGCTCAAGAGGGCCGCGACCGATACAGTTTCGCGACCCCCTCCACCGGTCGTGGTACAGCGATCAAGTCTTGAGGTTATAGCTTTCGGACATAATACGGATGTGAGATAGAATGGCTTGACGTTTCTCATTTGTTGGCATTGAGCGGATCAAGGATCACATACTTATTAATTACGCGGGGGGGGGATTGTGTTGATGGCACATGGACTTGACTGTCAATATCATGGGAAATTGGTCTTGTCATTTTCTTCTGCCCTCTTCATTCAATCCCTCTCTTGTTTTTCTGTTTCTTATACCTTTGTCCCTCCCTTCCCCCCCTTTTTTTTTCCTTTTCTTTACTCTTGTGGGTGGTGTAAATCATGATGGTCGCATTGAAATGTTTTCTTTTCCTGGTTCCATTGCTCGGCCGTTATATATACATTTTTCTCCTTTACATTTTTTCTGTCCTCAATTTTCCTACACTGTGCTATTAGTATCATCACCATTACCTCGCCCTTTTTGCATGATGGCTACAAAAGTTGGAACATCTATTAAGGAAGGGAGAAAATAAGTCGCAAAAAGGAAAGAAGGTGTACACCATGATATCCCCTTTTATCCATACATTTACCCATCAACCTCTTGTATACATTCCTCTACATCTAACTTTTCATTTCATCTTACACTTTACATTCTTGATACATCGCTGTGCGTGTCTTTTTTTTTCTTCTTCCATCTGCCCGGCATAGTGAACTTGAGAAATCGCTGTCTGTACCTTGTACTGCATCTTGGTGATAAGAGTCTCCCATAGGTCAACCAACTTATTCGGACCTTGGCCTTTGGCTATCGTGCTTGCATTTTGAATAGAATTTGGCATGAAATGTGTTGTTTTTATTTATTACCGTTATTGGAGTGCTTGAGTGACGTTGCGTGAGTCCATTACAGTATTGAACCTCGGTTTGGGCAAGCACTGTGAAGTGGGGTGGCACATGACGTTTTTGTGTCCCACGTTCAAACTGATCTCCGCGTTGTGTTACGCCTCTTTAAATAGTCCCCTCCGTCAGGGCACCCTACTGTACCAGGGATAGGGCAGACAGACAGGCAGAATATTTTTCCCTGAGGTGCTACAAGCAAAGAAGCCTTCTGATTGGAGATTCCTAAGGGGTTTTTTTTGTGGCAAATGAATTATGCGCAGTCATTACGGTGCCTTACCCGTAGTCTACTGGTATTATATCTGACCCATCCCTGTCCATATGCAGTATCGCCGTCCCTTCAGCTGTGGCGAGAGCGGTAATCTATGTTGCCACGCGAGTGATGTTTGGTGACAGTTGGACCTCGTTCGTTAGTTTGTTCGCTCGTTTCTGTCCATCCGTCCCCACGAATGCAATATATATCATACACGGGTATGATATTGTAAAACGGCGGACCGAGTCCTCTCTCGTCCAAACGCTGATCCATTATATTCATACCTGCCTACCTAAAGCACCTACCTACCTACCTACCTACCTACCAGCCAGTCAGTGAAGAGATCGCTACCGCACCCCAACAGTTTGCTCGCGCTGTATTGTACTGTACTGTGTTGTAAGGGTAAGTTGGTTGGTTAGTTAATAAGTATATACTCCCGGGACCCACTTCTTGATATTTATATACCGTACTGCGGGAGTTGATTCGATTCGTTCCGTTTGTAAATTGTTTGGATTGGGGCTGTGGTTTATTGCGGTAGGTAGGTATGGTGGGCGGACAAAGTAAGTAAAGTAAAGTGGGCAGATTGTATGGAGTTTCCTGGCTACCGTAGTTACTGTACGGTACTTTGTACTGAAATGGTATGATATAGACTTAGTTTTTTTTTTTTTTTTTTTTTGAAAATTTGGTGTTGTCTACTGTGGCTCTAATGTTGTACTGTACTTTCCATCTGCTACACTATACTTTACTATCATAGCATACCGTGCTTGTGCACTTCTGATGGCTTCTGTCTCTCCATTTCTCTCTCTCTCTCTCCTAACTAATCCCAAAGTCCCAGTCTAGCTAGAGGATCACAACCGGAAAGAGTTTTTTTTATTTCGTTTTTTTTCCCACCAGATGGGAACATATTACTAGTCCTAACAGTGTCAGGGCGCGGGTATGCTTTTGAAAGAGCTAGGATTTCGAAAATGTGGATGGAGTATCTGTTGCGGGTTCTTTGGGACTTCACGTATCATACATACGTGTATCATACGTTCGGGTCTAACTGTGGAAGGGTTTGAACTAATATGTATACCTCGCAGGGGATGATGAATATGGCGGGCGATATGGATACGACGAGAATAATGGATGGTGTTTGATGTGTTATCGCACGGGTATCGCTACTGCATTGGGTGGGATTTTGTTATTTGCACTGCACGGGTGTGTGCGCGGTGCTTTTGGTGGGCATTGTGCAATGAGGTGGATATCATAGTTGGGGCTCTGGGTTTTATTTGGTTTGTGGTTGGGAACTGGTGAAGCGTGCGCGTATATGTATGTCGTACACTCTCGGCGTGCGGATTGGTCTCGCACAAGCCGTCCTTATGGAAGGTGTGGACCGTTACTGTCGTCGGTAGGGAGGTACGGTACTTGTACTTGTAGGTAGGTAGGTAGGTAGGTAGGTAGGTAGGTAGGTAGGTAGGTAGGTAGGTAGGTAGGTATCGTACGGGTTCTTGGATTCACGTCTCCTGGATCTATGCGCTGCGGTGAACTGCAGAACATTGATGAAGGCTAATGGAAAGCACAAAGAGAATATAGTAACACAGATGCGATAATGGGAGGCTCGATACGCAGTGAGTCGAGAAAGGACGGTGATGATGCATGATAATGATGGTGCTAACTAAGCACAGAACAGGAGATCCATATCTCCGAAAAAACAAACAAACAACGACTCGGGAACCCAACAAAAAACACCACAAACACAAAAGACTCGGAACTACACCATACTGACAAGCCGTGATCCTCCATGCTCCACAACAATCCGCAACTCTCATGAACCTCCAAACAAAGGACCGTATGTATTGGAGAATACAAGGTGTGAAGGAAGGAAGCTAATCCCCGTGCCCGATGCCCTATGGAAATTGGTGACAATGCTAATAGGAAACCCGACACTTAAGCCCCATATACGCGCAAGCCGTATATCCACCTAATCGCCTAACCGCGTGCCCGATAGGTAATCCAACATATCATACATATCTCTCTATCTCTCCAGACATGATAGGGTGTGATATAATACAGTACTTACAGTCAGAGAGTATCATCGAGTAGCTAGCTAAGTTGCCATGACTCGGGTGGTATATGTTGGAATGTCATACCTGGGGAAAACTAGTGGAGTTGTTCATTGATATCCCTTCTTTTTTTTTTTGGAAGGGGGGGGGAAATCGAGTTGATAATTTCTCCATGTTTTTATGGGTGGTGGGCGTTATTGTATCATCTGCCCTGTCCTGTTTTTGAATGTGGATAGAACTAGTTCTCCAGTTTGCCTTGTGCGGGAGTACTGTACCGTATCCTGCTAGGGTTTGGCGGAATGCCGCCCCGGCGGAGTATGATACTCTCTTTTGTTACTGCTAGTAGTGGTAATGTCGGTGCAAGACTTTTTTTTTTTTTGGTCGTATACTCCTATGCCTCTTTAGTTCCGTTTTATAAGAGCTTCGGCATCATAAATACTATAATAACTGTCTGGTGTGGGGTGTATATCGTCCCACGACGGAATGCTCGAGCGTAGTACTAGTAGTAACCTAGCTTACAATATCATACAAAGTATCATACCATAGCTCGGAGATATCCTAACCTTGAGAGATGGGATGCATGCCTACTAAAGTTCACACAGAGTGTATCATGGCAGGCAGTAAGCTAAGTTAGATCAATGAAGTATATTAACACTCTAAAGTCAAGTCAAAGAAAAAGCACGCACATCCCTGACATAAATATCCTACAAGCCTAGAGTGAAAAATCCATTGGTTTTTGTTTGGTCTCAGCTTTCCGCGTCAGATATTTTCATTCCGAGGTGTTGGTATGATACCCGGGCCACACACGACCTCGCCGGGGTGAAGTTGCATATTAATGGAAGCTTAGTACTTGTATAATACTCGTAAATACACCAAGTGGTAATAGTGGTCCGTTGCATCGTGTTTGTAGGAGGACCGCATGTAAGATCCTCACCCAGGGTTCGCCCACCAAACCATTGGCAAAGGTCAAGTTCCCCGGACCCGACCCTCCCGAGAGGTCATATCATGCAGTGGCCAAGTTTCAGGTGTCTTAAAACTGCTCCTGTTGGTATTGTGCTCAGGGGGAATGGCAGCAGAATCATGCCCTAATAAATGGAGGCAGAAGGATACACAGTGAGTGAGAGTGGAAGTTTAAGTTCCTCAATTCCGGGTCCGATTCCACCGTTTCTATGATATGGTACACCCCGTCGACCAGCAACCTGTGTCAAGACCGCCTAGATCTCCCTCCTTGTGCAAACCCTCTGCTATTTGCGTTCGGGTTACTGATGGCGGTGTAATATCATATGGTGCAAAGAAACTCAAAACCTGTATCACAATATCGTATCTTGACCTATCGTACCGCACCATCTCTACCCAGTCAACATCAGCCATTAAGGAGGTATTTGGCAACCGTGATTATGATTTCAAATCCTGAGTTGGGACTGAATCGCGATTTGAAATCATCATGTGTTTGGCAAGCCAAACTGCGAATCTTGATTTGAAAACAGGACCCAACCCGGAGATTGAAAGTGTGATCTGAACCAGATGTATTTGGGGCTACATATATTAAAAGAGAAAGATAGAAAAGAGGGTGTTTGGCAGGATATGGTTTCAAATCATGATTTGGGTTTTGAAAACATGATCAGATTCTGAAATCACAATTATCGCGATTTGAAATCATGATCACGTTTTTCCAAACACACCCTAAACCAACCGCACACACACCCTTTCCTATCATACGCCGTTCGTCGACCCGCTGTTCCGGAACTACTCGTATACCTATTACCCATATAAACTTTCCCCCTGCAATTTCCAGGACAAATGCCCCTATACCCGTAGAAAAAGGGGGTGCTCCTCAAGACTTACTTTTTGCCGCAGCGTCCGCTATGATACGCACACTCTCTCTAGCGGGAATTTAATTGAACTCCCAACTTGCCTTGTAAGTGGTGTTAGTGGCTTGCCTCTTCTCACTCGTCGGGTTATGAGAACTGATCGTCTCCACTATATTTTCACTCTTTTTTTGGGGGGGCGGGGACTTGAGTTTTATCGTGAGATGGGGGAATATATAGGAATAATATGGGTATCGAGGGGGGGGGGGGGGTAATATGTGTGAACGCTCGCGCACTCGCTGCAGCTGCGATGTTATTAAATTTCGGGTAGGCATCTTGTCCAGTGTGTGACTGCCGCAGCGTGCCGGTAGTGGCGATGCTCCGCTTTTCGATATGCGTATGCTATCGCGGCTGGCACTACCAGCATCACAAACACACTTCCGATCCCTCCATGCCAGGGGCACCTAAAAATTAGGCCACCTTCCGCTGAAAGATCCGGAATAGTAGATGTATCGCTACATATCACTTCTAACACCGGGAACATGCAGGAAACCGTCCAGCATGGTCGCAACGGGAACGCTTTCGTGCATCGGAGGAGCAATTCCCGTTCTAAACTCATCCGATCCGGGGAAGTCTATCCCCGCACACGCCGTTAGTGTTAGAAGAAAGAAAAAAAGGGGGGAAAAAAGTCATATAGCATATTTCTCCTGCTGAAATGACTGGAGATGAGCATGTCTTCCCCTCCCAATTGCTAGCGGAGCTGGCCGAAATCCGCAAAAGCATTCGAATATATCCATAGTATATCATTATAACCAAGATACTTGTACAGTACCGGGTGGCAGAGCCACTCTCTTGTTCCCAGATACACAACCTCTACCCAATCACAACAGATCACTCGATTGCTACCCATGCTCCGTATAGAAATCGTTACTCCATCGTGATGGAAAGTACGATACAGGGCTGTCTGGATACCTACCATCCAATCTGGGGTATTATTATTATGATATGGATGATAACGCGAGTCATCTTGATGTGTATAGACCGGGCGCGCAGCTATACTATAAGAAGGGTGGACTTGGTTTGGGTACATGTACTATATAGCAGACAACATAACGTCTCTCACAGCAAATTGATCTTTCAAACCTCTAAAATTTTTCATATCTTGAGCTGGATTCCTTCCTGCAATACTGGCTCCCCTTGCCTGACTTGCGATACCCGGCTATGGTCTGAGAACCGAACCTGTGATGCCCGCTCAAGATCACGCCGAAACATCACTCCAGATTCGCGTTTACGTGTGCCGCACTGCTCCCCGCCCCCACCCCGCAGTTCCCCGCCGGATTCAAAGAGGATGGCAAGGTGCGGGTTGGGTTGAGTCGGGTCACTTACCGTATGATATCTTTGAACGTGGGGTAGGTATGATACGACAGTTGCCTGCCTGTCGGTGGGTATGGTAGGGCAACCTGGGTTGGAATTCACCTCCGTGATGTATCATATCATGTTCAAGAGGCTGTGGAGCGTGAAGAACATTCCGTTTGTGCATGTTCACACTGATAAATAGATATCATAGATAGACCAATTTGTCGAATAGAGGGTTACTGGACACCTCCCTTCGAGTGATAGGGGGTGTAAATATCAGATATTTCCCCTTTTTTTCTTTTTCTTCATCTCCTCCTCCAAGCTCCTGTAAAGACCCGCCTATCGTACTCTAAATCGCGATACGAAATTTCGTTGGATGGATGGAATACCGCAAGCTTTGGGAACTGTATATATCCCTTTACCGAGC